TGCTGTTAAACACCCTGATCCCCTCTTGGGCCTGTGTAAGAGAAGTGTCTCCTCTCCCAGACCTTGCTGCAGTCACAGCCTCCTGGTGGGACACTCCGTGGCACCGTGTGGCTTCCGGGTAAGCTGCCATGAGCTCTGGATGAAAGTGGGGCTTTGCCTGAGTGCTACAGTCCCTTGCTTTTCCTGTTGTCTCCTCTGTACCTGATGTAACGAAGGCAGAAGACACGGCTGAAACAGTGTTCTTGTTTCTCCTCAGAGCTGCCCCCCTTACTGCCCCAGCCTTTTGACCTTGCAGCCATTCTGCACGCAGAGCTGCCAGGGCAGAGCAGGGAGGGCTGGGCTCACCATCTTCCACTCCTGGTTTCAGTGCCACCATGATGGCCTGACTCCCCAAGGAAGAAATACGACTTTGTGATCCATCAGTCTTGGTTTCAGGATTAAGATCTGAAAGAATTTGTGCCAATTTTTTTGGGAATGTTGACCTGCAAGATAGCTAAAATGCACCTTTTAACTCTCATAAAAGGCTCTGTAGGAGAGCCAAATGGGAATGGGAAGCAGCCTGGAGCCATAGCAGTAATCCATTCTGTGAATTTTGTGTTTGGGATTTTTCTTATTCTAAAAGAACAGTGTATATGATTTGGCAGAAGCTCATGAAGCTTTTTTCCCCAGCCCCCATCAGTGTGCTGACTGTTTTGACTGTCACAGTGAAGCTGCTGACCCAACAGTTCAGGGAGACCTTTTCATTGCTTTCTTGATGTGTTTTTTTTTTTAAATAAAGTCTATTTGCTGAATTAGAAATGTCAAGAACATTGCAGGCATCTGGTGCTGATATTCTGGTTTAGGTTATTATGTTGGGAAAGCAGAGTTTGTATGCCGCCCAAAGTTTGGATTTCTTAATAGTCAGTTTTGATTTTAAAAGAACCCTGAACATAACAATGTAGCAGTTAAGAGGGAGGCACATGAATCATTAAATCTAACAAGGCCTTGTTTAGCAATTGAAGAATGTTTGATTTTTTTCCCGTCCTCCTTGCCCAGAGAAAAGAATGGTTCTGTGCTGGCACTCGTGAGCTGGCACATGGGAGATGCTGACAGAATCCCTATGAGGGCTGGGAGAGAATACAAATATATTCTTCGGGGCTGTGGTACTTAAAAAAGAGACAAACGTGTCTTTTAGCCATTTACCCTAACCCTGGGCACGCCTGTGAGGCTGGGCAGGGCACGGGAGTGTCCCCTGGTGCCCTGGGATGGGCTGTGGGGCACCAGTGCTCCTGCTGAACTGCACTGGAACGAGGAGAACTGGGACTGGAAACTTTTGCTGCCTCTTGAGGAACTTCCTGAGTGCAACGAGCCTGACTGAGCTGAAGAACTCAATTAAAGATGTTTTCCACCTGGTTTTGCCAAGGGGAATAAAACCCAGACATAAAATAGAATAAATTTAATACTAAGTTCTGCTGCAGCTGTTGACTATCTCAGATGTCCCTGCTTTCCCTTCCTTGCCAAGCTAGGCAACACAAATCACGTTTACAGTTCCTTTTGTGTTGTGCATGTGACAGGGGTTTGCAGTGTAACAAGATTAGTTTTCCCTGTAATCTTCTTAAAATGTCCTTCCTTTGATTGTCTTTTCATCTTTTGGTGTTCTGGTACTTGGATTAACAGCATTGAGATTTATTCCACGAGTCCTGTTTGATAAACTGCTTTCAAAAATTATTTGCCTACAAACATACTTAATTTGGAAAAAGCATTTCAACGGGAGCTAAATTAAGCAGTGTGTATTTTACAAACAGAAAAAAGAAAGCATGGCGCCATTACAGGATTCTGAGCCAGTCTGGAGCAGAGCTTCTTCGTGCAGGACACAGTTCTTCCTCTCCTGTTTAGTCCCTGCTGCTGTAAAGGCTTTGTTCCTCTTGTGCCATTGCGTGCCTCCATTTCAACTCCATCTCTTCAGCTGGTGCTCAGAGAACAACCCCATCTCTTCAGCTGGTGCTCAGAGAACAACTCCATCTCTTCAGCTGGTGCTCAGAGAACCCCATCTCTTCAGCTGGTGCTCAGAGGAGAACCCCATCTCTTCAGCTGGTGCTCAGAGAACAACTCCATCTCTTCAGCTGGTGCTCAGAGAAGCCCATCTCTTCAGCTGGTGCTCAGAGAAGCCCATCTCTTCAGCTGGTGCTCAGAGAACAACCCCATCTCTTCAGCTGGTGCTCAGAGAAGCCCATCTCTTCAGCTGGTGCTCAGAGAAGCCCGCGCGTCGCCCGGGGCCCGGCGCGGCTCCCGCGGTGCGTGCGGGCTGCGCACGGGCGGAGCGCTGCCCCGGAGCCGCGGGACAGCTCCACGGCCCCTTCCCGAGGTGAAGTTTTAGCTATGAAGATGGCCACTCACGGCAGGGCTTGGGTTTCAAACTGGGTTGTTTTTAATTGTAGACACATCCTTTGCTTTCTATTCCATTCCTCGCGTTACTCAGTGGCAAACTACTTAACGGAACATAATTTACCTGTCCAAAGCATCTAAAAGCCAATCCCTGTGCTGTGTACCCCCACACAGCCCCGAGCCGCGCTGGGGCTGCTCGGGCGGCTCCGGGCTGGCGGGGCAGCACGGTCGCGATGGATGCCGGCGCTGCAGCGGCTCTTGCCTTTGGAAAGTCACCGAGTATCTCTTAACTGCTGTTTTGTCTTTTATTTTGTAAAAAAAAATTAAATGTCCAAAGCCACGCTCGGGGATCCCGGTAAAGGGTATGAAACGTACCGGTACCCCGGGTTCCGCTGCTCGCCCCGCTCCGCCCGCCCCCGGCCGCCTTCACCCGCCCACAGCGCGGCCGGGCCCGGCCACGCGGCACCGCCACATGGCGGCGGGGCCCGCGCGGCCGCGGGAGCCCGGGCCCGCTCCCGGCCCGGGCCCGCTCCCGGCCCGGCCCCGCTCCCGGCCCGGCCCCGCTCCCGGCCCGGCCCGGCCCCGCTCCCGGCCCGGCCCCGCTCCCGGCCCGGCCCCACTCCCGGCCCGGCCCGGCCCCTTTCCCGGGCCGGCCCCGCGGCCCCGCCAGCCCCACCGGATGTGGCGGCCCCCGGCAGGGCGGGCCGGGGCGGGGCCGCAGGATCCCATAAATTGCCTCGCGCGGAGCCGCGCGGCCTCTTGCTGCGGATCGGCCGAGGTGGGTTTGCGCACCGGCGGGGCTGGGAGCGTCCGGGCCTCCCTTCCCGGCCTGTCGGGGTGGGCCGGGGCTCTGCGGGCGCCGGAGCCTCCCTGCGCCCCTCTGTGCAGCGCCGCGCTCCGCTCGGCCCGGGGCCAGGCCGCTCTTGGCCGCGCTCCCGCGGAGCTCCCCGGTGCGCTGGTGGAGGTGATGACTCTTTCCCCGTCAGAGCGACAGTGCCGACTTTATCTCTGTCCAAGCCAGGTCGTGTCTGATGCGCCAGCGGAGCGGCCGCGGGCCGGCGCTGGCCGTGCGCTGCTCCCGGTTCTCACCGCGCTTTGTTTCCCCAGGCCGGAGCGCCGCGCCCGGAGCCAGCGCGGCCATGGGGGCGCTTCCCCAGCGTGCGCCGGCAGCCCCGAGCCTCCGCGGGGGCCAGGCGGTGAGTCTGCAAAACGAGTGTTTCGTACCCGGTTAATACTGTATTATGTTTATATTTGCTCTTTCAAAGGAGTTACTGAATGATTTGGTCGCGCGTTGCCAGGGTGGTGTCACTGGAGAGGTACCAAGCGTCCAGGCGCTGCCCGGGTCCTGTCCAGCGCAGCGGCCTCGGGCAGCAGGGCGCCTGCCCGCACGTGGGGAACGAGAACCCCACGTGGACAGCAGACCTGGGCCTGCAAAGGGCAGTAATGACCTGTTAATCTCTTCCTGACGCCTCTTTTCCCTTTTAATGTCTTCCCTCTCTTGAGCTCTGCTCCACAACACCCATACATTGTTCTCCATTTTTTTGGGAATATGTCCCTGTCCTGTGTACTTGCAGAGCATGCCAACCAGCCGCGTTTTTGGGGGAAGAATTTACATTAACTCCCTCATTGCCCATAGTTCTGCCAGGGAAGGTGGGTGTGTGACACAGCTGCTGTGGATGTGTACCCACAGCTCCTAGGGACGTGCTGGTGTAAGTGATGACTGATTTTTTTCCCCATCAGAGCGACAGTGTTGATTTCTTACTGTTCAAGCCAGATCGTGTCTGATGCACCAGGAGGGAAATGCTGCTGTGTCTCACACC